CCGACCAATCCACCGACCTGGGAAACGGTTGTTGAGGTACTCGCGCCCTTCTCCGAGGTAATGAGGGGGTGCACCGTCTTGCTGAAAGTGAATGCGTCCTTCCTGGTCGTCTTCGTGAAGTTGAGGAATGAGGAACTGTTGGAGCATGTCCAGATACACAATGCCGGTAATGGTCTCCGTGAAAAAGAAGGGACCGTACACTTTATTTTTCCTGAGGGCGCAAAACACATTAGCTTTTGGACCGTCACGAACATGTTCCAGGAAGGCACGTGGATTTTCACTACCCCAAATCCTGCAGTTGTGGGTGTTGACCTTACCAGTGACATGGAACGTGCTTTCGTCACTGAAAAGTACTGAGTCCAGAAATCCTTCGTCGTCTTCAACCCGCCGCAACATTTCCGTACAAAATTCCTTACGAGCCAGTTTATCACCATCTGAAATGGCTTGAACCATGGATAATCTGTACGCTCTTAAGTGTAAACGTCTTCGTAACACTCGCCACACACTCACATGTGGAATCCCACTTTCCCGAGATGCATTTCTCGTTGACTTGCGCGGACTTCGAGCGAAACTCTCCCTAATCTGTTCCACGGCGTCTTCAGAAACACGTGGCCTACCGGCTTTCTTGGTATGGCACATGAAACTTGATGTGTTTGGCTAAATTTTTGCATTTAAAAATATTGCGCACGTCCTTTAAATAAATTTATATTCCCCTGCAAAGTTGTAAAGCTACTTTCAAAACACGGTGTACATGAAAACGGCCCGTGGAAATCAACGGGAAACTTATGTAGAGTGAAGCAGTAACGCCGTGGCTACTCCAGGACAACTCATAAGCACTGCGAATTTGTGTCATAGCAACCGAACTTGATTAAGTTAATTATAAGTACTGCCTTACTACTTGGAGACACGTCTGTAATCATTTATACATGTCACATTAATAAAGGAATTTTATGGCCAAGAAATAATTACGTCCGCCATATAAGTCAGTATAGTGACTAGCTACGGGCTGGACGACCGAGGTTCGATCCTCGACAAGGGCAGAGGATTTTTCCTCTAGCCTCTAGGTTCAGACCGGCTCTGGGGCCCACCCAGCCTCCTGTCCAATGGGTATCGGGGTCCTTTACTGGGACTAAAGCGCGGCCAAGAATGAGTAGGAGCTATATATACCTTCTCTCCCCCCAAGCGTCAACATGGCGTATAGTGGGACAGCTTTACTTTTTACTTTATATCAGTGAAGACATTGAAGCACTGGTTAAAACTCGTCAAAGTGAACAGTCTACATAATGTAAACACGAACGAACGTATTTTGCAGTGCAGCCTCAGTCATATATGAATCGCTAAATTCCTGCTTATTTTCTAGAACAATTATTGTACCTAATTCCACTGCAGAGCTCTTGAACGCCATGATACTGGACTGGCCTATGCGTTCATCTTTAAACCAATTTACATTCTACGATCAAAACTAACATCGCATAATCACATCCATACATTATCACCATTCACAAAAAGAAATTGGCGCACGGCCTACTATAGGGTTATCGAAAGGTCACGCAGACCATATTATTTATTTAGTGTTCTGTCTGATGACAGGTTCATATGAACAGGATCCTTCCATCCTTTTCTCGGACTGGGACCTTTTCATATACGTTCTTGGCAGATGATCCAGAAGTGGTTTGCCATTGCCTTCTTCTGTGTGTGAATGGAGTAATTGTTGGGATGCCACGGAGGAAAACTCCGTGTTGCCTAGACCACGGCCTTGCCCAACACAAGTTATAAATCTGAGCAAAACCGGGAACTGAACCCGGGACCCCAGGAGTACAAGGATAGTGTTCTAACCGTAGACCACCGTGGCTATACAAAGACCATATTAAAATATTTATCGATGGTTGCAATTCAACACAATTTGATCATATTTTTTAACACACAATATCTCTGACACACAGACCACTTCATATAATCTGCTCTCGCCAGTCCGTTCGTCAATTGTCTTCGAACAGGCGAAGTGCGAGGATGTCTTTTTCGTAAGTGCAACGAGCCGTTCATCGTCGAACACTACCTGGCATCCGTTTCTAATTTAACTTGACAAAATGATATGTGTTTAACTCTTTTCAGTCTAATCACAATAAAATTCCTATTAAATATTAAAATATTACTATAATTAACATTTAAATATTTAAAATATATTATATGATGTTCTCTATCGAAATGTTCGATTTACATTAGAACATCAATTTTTACACGACATGTTTCGGTTCTAAAAGAACCATCTTCAGGTGTATAAAATTTTTATATAAACTTAAATATAATTTTTTAAATGCAACTTTTAGTCGGATGTTTATCAGATTTCAAATGCTGTTTTCTTCTAGATTTATTGTATTTTTAATATCGTATTCGAAGTTGTTCCGTATGTACGTCGTGCTTAACATGATTTTGTGTGGGTGAACGTTTTTGTTGTTGTTTTTGTATCATCCAGAGATGAAGTTGTGGAGGAGTTACGTCTATCATATGTCATCTCTTGACAAAATGAGATTAAAGGGGAAACATTTCCAGATTCTCCTGTGCCAAACAAACCCACAGCATCTCGTCTGGTGAACCGTTTCAGTGACACAGGAAGCGGGCAGGACAGAAAAGATTCCGGTCGACCTTCGGTGTCAACTGACGATAGTTCAGACATGTCACATTCTCCACAAAATCACTGAGAAAACTTCTTCTGAGTGGATTATCGTATGGAAGTGTACACAGGGCTACAAGCATTTTAAAACTATTCACTATCTGGACTTTTTCCGACGCCCTTGTTTAAAAGAAGAAATCACGACGTTTCGGAAATTGGCTGTTTCCGTATTCAGACGAGAGGTACCTACTCTGTTGGGTCCGTTAAACAGAGCTAGTCTCCATCACTGGACAACATACGAGGTGCGATCGGAAAGTTTCAAGACTGTGTCAATAGAGGGCGAACCGGATGTAGTACGAGCTTCTGCCGCTAGGGGGTGCGGCCTACATTCATAGTGAATCAGTGTGCCAGCCGGCATCATCGAATTAGCATTTGTTTCTTAGTTACGGGCGTTTTGGTAGTGCATTACACCGACCCTCCTGCGATTTCGGAATGGCGTATGCATCAAATTTTGCCAAAGACTCGCCAAAACGGCTAAGGAAACCTATGAAATGCTAAAGCAAACATTTGGGGAGTCCGCAAACTTTTGTGTGGCATTCACGTTTTAAAAATGGCCGAACCTCTGGCGTATCATCCAAGTGTCTCAACATATCCACCTGGGTACAGATCTTGTCAGCAGATGATAGTAAGAATATGGCAAAATAAATAATTATAGGACCACTCATAAAACTCTAAACAACCAGCAGCAAAAACCCAACAACTGACATCGAATCAAACCGAAATGAGGGGGGGGGGGGTTTTAAAACTTCGTCCATATCACGTAAATGTGCACAAACGCATGGAACACGAAAAGGAAATAATTAATTCGGTACTGTAATTGTTTTCAAGCTTTATTCAAGGGGGGGGGCACACATTCTAGATAAAGTTTTCTATTAAGGTACATACACAGGTGGAGCCATACAGCAAATTCAGTAATTGAGCGAGTTGTTCGGTGGTCGCATTATTTCTCTAATTTTGTGGCCCCCTCGTTCCCCAGATTTCTGTCTTTGGGGATTTTTGAAGGACAAGGTGTACAAAAACAACCAGCATACATGAAAATAATTCAAATATAATACTGAGCTGTGTATTTCGAACGCCATTGCAGGAATTCTCCACCGGGTTGCATCATACACGAGGCAAAGAGTAAATGCATGCATCGCTGAACGCGGTGCGCCTTTTCAACACTTAAGTAAAGTAAGTAAAGTTTGTCCCGCTATGTAGGCGCTTGGGGTGAGTGGAGGTATAGCTCCTCTCTTCCTTGACCTCGGCACTAGATGGGGGTGAGTGGCCAGCATCACGCCCCGGCCGGCTTTACCCCCGGGAAAGGACCCCGGTACCCATTGTAGAGGAGGCTGGGTGGGCCCCAGAGCCGGTCTGGACGCAGAGGCTAGAGGAAAAATCCTCTGCCCCCGTCGGGGATCGAACCCCGGTCGTCCAGCCCGTAGCTAGTCACTATACTGACTGATCTAACTTATTTATTTTTTCTGATTTACATGCATTTTACGTTTTGACAAACAGAATATGTATCAGTAAAGGGTTGCGTGATTTTTCTATCACTCTCTATAAATATGTACTTCTTTTCAATACTGCAAAACATATTCTTACGCGTGTACGCTCAACAACCTAATTTCGCAGCTTTCGTAAGTCTCATAACAAAATTTCTGGTTGTACGGACTTCAGGGTAAAGAGGGCTCTCGACTGAGCGGTCGTACACCCCCGCAGGCATTTCTGTTCGCTGAAAATTCCAACTGCCTTGCAGAACGATACTGGTATTTACTTAACGTGGATAAATACGCCAAAGTGAAACCATTTCACTGCAAACACAGTTTCGTGGACCGAATCCCTCTTACGAGTCACAACGGTACATCTTTCCAATCCTGTGTGAAAGAAATGTCACTATTTAAAAATCAGTTCCTGCCATTTACTCATCAGAGGCCCACTTAGTCCCACTGACGGGAGGACATGACAGTAGAGACTGCCCATTTGACATGTGACCGTATTTCGTGAATGCCTCTCTAAGCTCAGTGAACAACAATATTTCACGAAGTTCATCTCCATGAAATTTCTTCTCAACTTCCCTGCTGATTCACCTCTCTTTGGTTCATATATTCACGTCATCAATTTTTCTTCACTCATATGTCAACATGGCGTCCAATCGACTATCGTAGCGGCGTTGTGTCGATGAGAACATTCTACCTTCCTGTAGGTTAGCTTTGGTCACGCTAGCTAAGCACATTATCTTATTATCTATGCTAGTTAAATAACACTGTATTCAGCAAGCAGAGACTGTCCCTACTGGATAATTCTTTGCACGACCACCAATTCTAAACAATGAATGCTACGGACGTCATCGGGATACCCACAAAAAGGTCTCAATTGGTTGTCGGCTTCACGCATGGGACAGATAAGGCTCGCTTCCTGAACAGACGGGTCAGTTTGTGCTGTCGGAATCCATTCATTCACTAAACGAGGCAATCGTTCAGATACACTCCACATGCATCGATATTATCTGTTTTCGGGATGGAGAGAGAAAAACCTTCCTTAACAACGCTTATTTTATTACAAATTCTTCCTTCTACAGAGACCAAAGCAACGATAATCAGACAATTTGTGACTTCGTTTAAATCTCTGACCAGTACAAATGTTCACTCCAGGAAAGACGGCATACACAGATAGGCCCAGACCTTAGATTTCGTGCAGTAGCCATGTTCTTCAAAAAATAAGAGAATAAAATAAAATCGATCAATTTTTATAAGATTAGTATATAATAATACCTCAGGACACTATATGAAACGACGTAGATATTTGTATCACCGACCTCAGACGTTCGTGCGAACTCCAAGTACACATTATACTGCGGTCAACAACTAGAAACAAAGGAACAATTAAATGCAAATGTTACATTTCAGGAACGCGTTAAATTGCAACATGAGACGATGTGACGTACCCTAAGCCTGCATGAAGTTATGTCCACCCACAAGCCCATACAGCGTAGAACCCACGAGACCAACATCGAAACCCCCACACATCATAACAGACCAAGTGCTTAAAAAAAGGACGGGGGAGATCCCCGCTCTTTTAGGTCATCCAATTTCAGTTAGTTAACCTGATTTAGACCTAGTTTATTTCGAAACTAAATTATTATAGGATGTCCGAGCTCAAAAACGTGACCCTGGGCTCAATTCACGCCTTAAAGTCCCAATAAGCATACCGGTATGTCCGAAAGTCAATCATTACAAAGACATTTTAAGGCTGTTTACTGGAGAACAGCGTAAATTATTCCAGCAGTGACGTCATTCCGTGTCAGGATCCCCGACATTATCGTGAAGGTACCTGCATTTCTCGATCAACATTTCCAAAACAG